TGTGGAGTCTGACTAGGAGCACTGGTACACACGCCACCCTCCACCACCACCACCACTACCACTATCACTACCACCACCACTGCCACCACCACTGTCACCACCACCACTACAACCACCACCACCACTACTCCCACCATCACTTCTATCACCAACACTGTCACCACCTCTACCACTATCACTACCACCACTGCCACTACTACCACCACCACCACCACCACTTCCACCACCACCACTTCCACCACCACCACTTCCACCACCACCACCACCACTACTACCACGTCCACTGCCACCACCACTGCTCCCACCACCACCATCACCACCACTTCCACCACCACCACCACCACTACTACCACGTCCACTGCCACCACCACTGCTCCCACCACCACCACCACTTCCACCACTACTCCCACCACCACCACCACCACCATCACCACCACTTCCACCACCACCACCACCACTACTACCACGTCCACTGCCACCACCACTGCTCCCACCACCACCATCACCACCACTTCCACCACCACCACCACCACTACTACCACGTCCACTGCCACCACCACTGCTCCCACCACCACCATCACCACCACTTCCACCACCACCACTTCCACCACTACTCCCACCACCACCACCACAAGACCATACAAAACACTGAGGGAAATAGACAAGGTCTACAAGCACAGCCTATTTAAAGTAACAGAAACAAGGACACAGGTGGAAGCAGGAAACGAAAATGATTTGAGGAAATCTAGAGCAATACTGGTACTGTGCACGGGTGGTCACCAAGCGGAATACGCTGAGAGAAGACGTTGTAGAAGCCACCTCCATCCACAATGTTAAGGACAGATTTTGAAATGAATTCGAAAGTGAGAATAGTTCAAATATAACGCAATAAGTGCAACAAGGCCAGCGGGGGGGGATAAATATTAGACCTCGCTTCACGGTAGTCATTAATAGGTAAACACTATCACTAACACTATCACCACCACCACCACCACCACCACCACTGCCACTACCACAACCACCACCACCACTACCACTACCCACACTGCCACTACCCACACTGTCACCACTACCAACACCATCACCACCACAACAACCACCACCACCACCACCACTGCCACTACCACAACCACCACTACCACTACCCACACTGCCACTACCCACACTGTCACCACTACCAACACCATCACCACCACAACCACCACCACCACCACCACTGCCACTACCACTACCACCACCACCACTACCACTACCCACACTGCCACTACCCACACTGTCACCACTACCAACACCATCACCACCACAACCACCACCACCACCACTGCCACTACCACCACCACCACCACCACCACCACGACTACCACTACCCACACTGTCACCACTATCACCACAACCACAATGAAGTCAATTCACAAACATATTTACTCGATCTCTTCAACTCTTCAAAGCTCTAAATGACAGTTCCATTATAACCCGTCCTCTTCCATTCCATCTCCCTTCCTCCCACCCTTCCCACCTTCATTTCCCCTTCCCTCCGTCCCTCCCTCCATCGCTCCATCCCTCCCTCCCTCCATACTAATTCTTTCCTCCCTCTCACCCTCTCTCCCTTCTTTTCTTCCTTCCTCGCTCCTTCCCTGTCTCCCTTTCTCCCTCCCTCCCTCACCCCTGTCTCCATCCCTCCCTTCCTCTCTCCCTCTCTCACTTCCATCCTAACCCTCCTGTCATCCCTCGTGCCTGCGTCACCCCTTGTTGACATTCCGGGCCGGGCGGACTCCAGATGCAAAAACGATCAAGAACTTTGAGTCTTGCTGGTAATATCTTTCTCGCGACACGTGACTGACAGACGTGACAAGAAGCCAGGGATGCCAGCCACTCAGATAGGCAATGCCACTGTGCCAGTCACTCACATAGGCAATGCCACTGTGCCAGCCACTCAGATAGGCAATGCCACTGTGCCAGCTACTCAGATAGAAAAGGCAACTGTGTCATACTTGTTGCTGATAGATCCATTCTCCCCTCAAAACAAAGAAATGAGGTCAGATTTGGTCGAAACAAATAAATCAACAGTTTATTTGCAACATTATATTGAATGGTTTGCTAAAGTAAAAACTGAACAATGTTCGAACTGTTAATTAATGCATAATATCCAGTTGATTCTTTCTCTTTAAGAGCTGCTTGTTTAACTCCCTGCGTGTGTGTGTGTGTGTGTACTCTCCTTATACTTACCCTGCCCTGTGTGTACTCACTTAATTGTGCTTGGGGGGTTGAGCTCTGGCTCTTTGGTCCCGTCTCACAGCTGTCAATCAATTGGTGTACAGATTCCTGAGCCTGCTGGGCTCTATCATATCTACATTTGAAACTGTGTATGGAGTTAGTCTCCACCACATCTCTGCCTAATGCATTCCACTTACTAACTACTCTGACATTGTAAAAGTTCTTTCTAATATCTCTGTGGCTCATCTGGGTTGGGTACTAGGTTTCCACCTGTGTCCCCTTGTTCGTGTTCCACCCGTGCTAATAAGTTTGTCTATATCCACCTTGTCAATTTCTCTGAGAATTTTGTGGGTGGTTATCATGTCTCCCCTTACTCTTCTGTCTTCGAGGGACGTGAGTTTCAGCTCCTTTAGCCTTTCCTCGTAGCTCATACCTCTCAGTTCCGGGACGAGCCTGGTGGCATACCGCTTAATCTTCTCTAACTTTGTCTTGTGTTTAACTAGGTATGGACTCCAAGCTGGAGCTGCATATTCCAGGATTGTCTGACATGAGGGGTATACAGGGTCCTGAACGATTCCTTACATAAGTTTCTAAAGGCAGTTCTTATGTTGGCCAGTCTAGCATATGCCGCTGAGGATATCCTTTTGATGTGGGCCTCTGAGGACAGGTTCGGTGTGATATCAACCCCCAGATCTTTCTCTCTATTTGACTCTTGTAGGATTTCACCTCCCAGATGGTACCTTGTGTTCAGCCTTCTGCTCCCTTCGCCTAATTTCATTACTTTACACTTTCCTGAGTTGAACTTTAGTAGCCATTTTCTAGACCATTCCTCCAGCCTGTCCAGGTCGTCCTGTAGTATCTGCCTATCATCATCTGTCTTGATTCATCTCATAATTTTTGCATCATCAGCAAACATTGAGAGAAATGAGCTCTACCCTCTGGAATATCGTTTACATATATTAGAAACAGGATGGGTCCAAGAACAGTGCCCTGTGGGACTCCGCTGATGACATCTCGCCACTCTGATGTCTCTCCCCTCATAGTTACTCGCTGTTTCCTGTTGCTTAGATACTCCCTTATCCGCTGGAGCACCTTACTTTTTACTCCTGCCTGTTGCTCCAACTTTCGTAACAGCCTTTTATGGGGTACTGTGTCAAAAGATTTCTGACAGTCCAAGAAAATGCAGTTTGCCCACCCTTCTCTTTCTTGCCTAATTTTTGTTGCTTGGTCATAGAACTCTATTAACCCTGTGAGGCACGATTTACGATCTCTGAACCCATGCTGGTGGTGTGTTACAAAGCTGTTTCCCTCCAGATGCTCTGTGAGCCTTTTTCTCACGATCTTCTCCATCACCTTGCATAGTATGCAAATTAGGGAAACTGGCCTGTAGTTCAGTGTCTCTTGCCTGTCACCCTTTTTGTATATTGGGACTACATTAGCTGTCTTCCAGCTTTCTGGTAGGTCTCCTGTTTCCAGTGACCTGTTATACACCATAGAGAGTGGCACGCTTAGTGCTTCTCCACCTTCTTTTAGTATTCACGGGTGAGATTACGTCAGGCCCAACAGCCATTTGTCACATTCAGACCTATCAGATTCCTTTTGACCTCATCACTGGTGAGGTCAAAAGCCTCCAAGACTGCTTGGTTTGCCTACTCCTCATTTAGCGCAGGGGCTAAATGAAAGAAAGGTAAAGAGGTTTCGAAGATTTCCCTCACATGAAAAACATGTGAAAAACGCAGTTTTCCAAAAAAAAAACATTTTTTCCCGTCACAGATGTGACACCTATGAGTATGTATATAAAAGCCTGCTCGGATGCGCATGGAACGATATGTAAACATTTCAAAGCAATCAGTGAAGAACTTTCGGAGATTAGCGATTTTGAGCAAATGAACATTAACATTTTTATTTATATAGATTTATATAGCAGTAAAGATAAAAGAGGTTTATATATTTTATATTATTGATAATATCAATGATATTATCAAAGCTTCAAAGCTTCAATAACGAAGTTCTCGAGGAATTGAGATGCTTTGCAACCCTTGAGACAACTCCACCCGGGCTGCAATGATGCCGTCTTTGATGTCCTCCAGCCCTCTCCTGTGACCAGGAGCCGACTTGCTGGCCCTCCCCGGCATACACTAGTGCGGCGGTGAGCCAAATGTGCAGGATAAGTCTATGTCTGACTCCCACCAGCATGATTATTCCTTCTTGGCTGAGGTGCACCATTCTCTCTCTCTCTCTCACTCTGGCTCTCTCTCTCTTTCACTCTCTCTCTTTCACTCTCTCTCTTTCACTCTCTCTCTCTCTCTCACTCTCTCTCTCTCTCTCTCTCTCTCTCTCTCTCTCTCTCTCTCTCTCTCTCTCTCTCTCTCTCTCTCTCTCTCTCTCTCTCTCTCTCTCTCTCTCTCTCTCTCTCTCTCTCTCTCTCTCTCTCTCTCTCTCTCTCTCTCTCTCTCTTTCACTCACATACACACACACACACACAAGTACACAAGCATGCTGCCTTATCATTATTGTCTTATCAGAGAGAGAGAGAGAGAGAAAGAGAGAAATAGAGGGAAGAGAAAGAGAGAGAGAGAAAGAGAGAAATAGAGGGAAGAGAAAGAGAGAGAGAGAAAGAGAGAAATAGAGGGAAGAGAAAGAGAGAGAGAGAGAGAGAAAAAAAGAAATAGGGGGAAGAGAAAGAGAGAGAGAAAGAAAGAAATAGAGGGAAGAGAAAGAGAGAGAGAGAGAGAGATATCCTGAGCTATAATCGGAAATGTTGCACACACTACCTATGCTCATACTGAGCGAGCACAATGACTGCTCAAAGTACTCGACAAGGACACTGCTCTGGAGAACTTTGATGTATCGGTGTGAGCGAGGATCTGACAGTGTCGTGTTGATTGTCTTCTTGATTGGATCACGTTGCCTGCAAGTGCGTCATTACAAGTATTGTTTTACGTCAAAATATAGTTGATGCTGCCTCGTTAGCTTTGGCTGGTCGCTTTGAAGCATAGAATAGTTAGGGACGCAATGGGAACTCTATTCTTCATTCTATGCTCCCGGCCCACGTTTCTGTGGCCCAGGGTGTAATTGTGATTTTTAAATTTGTATAATCAAAAGCAGCATTCCCCAATATAAATTTAAAAAAAAATCGTATATAATAATTTTGTACACAGGTAAGGAACTCTGTATCATGAACGATTACAATGGAAGGATATAAGATAGTAATGGAAGTGGTGTATATACCCCTCTTAGCACCTCACACACTGGCAGGAGTATGATGGAAATAACATGGATGGAGTCATTCTGTCTGCTATCGCAAGATCTGCCTTCTTCCTAATATGAATGAGTTTCGATTCTAAATTATGAGAGATTCCAACCAAGCAAGATTGATTGGGAAAAATATGGAACCCCACCGGGAGGCGGGGGCATGAATTCAAGCAATGTCACACAAGCAATACAATGAATACAAATCAATGGAACAGACAAGGAGAACCTTTCTAAAGCAGCATGTCTGTGTATCAGCAAGAATTAGGGATGATTCTGAACCAGCCAGAGATGACCTGATATTCTCTTCTTATTAAAGAATCAAATATCAAAGAAGTCGTCTTGGGAGCAATCCCTTTGTTTTAAAAGGGATTGTTATTATTTGTTTTGAAATTTGAAATTTGTTTTGAAAATGTGATTATTGTTTTAGAAAAAAATATGCACTCCTAAGGGAAAATGAGAACTGAAAGACTGTTGGAAGACAAAATAATGTCAATATACAAAAAAGTAATCTTACAGTAAGCACTGAAGAACAGGCCATCGTTCCCTAATTGCATATCATGCACGGTGGCATATAATGGAGAAATAGGCATTTTCTTATTTTATCAACAAGGCAATGTTGACAATGTCAGCATTGTCACTGCTGACAATGGTGTCAACAGTGACACCATTGGTGTTTCAGAGGACAAATGAGTACCTAACAGATAATAAAGAATAACAGTGACGAAGGAGAGAGAACTGAGTGTAGAGATGCTACCAGAAGTATGGAACTAGGAGCCAATCACGTTCCTTATTTCTTACCAGAAGCGATGCTCTCCTTCCTCACAATCGTTGCTGATGATGCAGAAATTGTCAGCATGATAAGTACCTTGGAAGACTGCAAGAAACTGTGGGATCACCTATACAAACTAAAAGAATGATCCAATCAGTGGGGACGTGAGTTTACCTCAAGCACGTGTAAAGTTATAACGTTGGATGCTGGAAAAAGAAATCCAGATACAAGGAAGAGGAAATCTTATTGAAATTGGAAGAAAATGACCTTGCGGCTGGTAACACACAGAGGCTGTCACTAGAAGACAACTTGAAACGAATATTATCAGTTGCATTTGCATGGGTTGGCAACATTAGAACTGCCTTCAGGAATTTCAGGAGTGAGTCTTTATTGACTTTCATTGCCACGTATTTCAGACCAATTTGGGAATATTCGATTCTATCATGGAGTCCTTACCTCGTTAAATAGAAAACGAAGCACGAGGAAGTCTAGATTTATGTTACCAAATTAAATCCAGAGCTGAGAGGCATGAATTACGAGGAAAGGCGAAAGGAATTTAACCTCACGTTGCTAAGAAATGTAAAAATAAATGAGACGAGACAAGACAATACATGAGACAATTCTCAGATGTAGAGGCAGAGCCACAACACAATATTATTTAATTTTATTAAATATCAAAATAGCGAATATATGGAATGCGCTGAAACGGGTGATGGAACCAGACACGATAAATCGCTTAATAGATCTGATAGAGCCAAATCAGTTCAGTAACCCATACACACACTAGCTGATTGTGGGATGACAAGTTGAACCAGAGAGTTGTAGTTAATCTCCAGAAATCACAAGTATGTGAGTACAAACACAATCCCATACACATACAGTCTCACACACACACATACATATTCTAACACATTCACACACATACATATTCTAACACATACACACACATCATATACTCACACATACACACACACACATTCATATACTCACACATACACACACACACATTCATATACTCACACATATACACACACACACACAGAAATTATTTTTTTTTACTACATTGAACTAATAACAATGGAAAGGCGGGGCTTAAGAGAAGATGTTTCATCCTGCAAGCACAACTATGTGAACACACATAAACAAAACACACACACACACACACACACACACACACACACACACACACACACACACACACACACACACACACACACACACACACAATTCAAAATACAATCATTTTGACTTTTGGTAAATTGATTTATCGGGAATATTGGAATGGGAATTACCGCCTACCTCTCAAAGCCTAGAATTACCATCACAGCTCTCACCGGGATGCCTCATAAATGCGGAAATATTAAAAATGTTGCCAAATTAAATAGATCAAAAACACTCGAATTCTGCTGTTTGAGTCACCAGATCGAACGGTATTCAGTACTGTCAAAAAAAAAATACATATATATATATATATATATATATATATATATATATATATATATATATATATATATATATATATTATATATATATATACGTTGTGCTGCTCTGAGAGAGTTCACCAACACCCACACACCTGTCGTCGTGTTCCTCTGAGAGAGTACACCAACACCCACACACCTGTCGTCGTGTTCCTCTGAGAGAGTACACCATCACCCACACACCTGTCGTCGTGTTCCTCTGAGAGAGTACACCAACACCCACACACCTGTCGTCGTGTTCCTCTGAGAGAGTACACCATCACCCACACACCTGTCGTCGTGTTCCTCTGAGAGAGTACACCAACACCCACACACCTGTCGTCGTGTTCCTCTGAGAGTCACCAACACCCACACACCTGTCATCACGTTGCTCTGAGAGAGTACGCCAACACCCACACACCTGTCGTCGTGTTCCTCTGAGAGAGTACACCAACACCCACACACCTGTCGCCGTGTTCCTCTGAGAGAGTACACCAACACCCACACACCTGTCGTCGTGTTCCTCTGAGAGAGTACGCCAACACCCACACACCTGTCGCCGTGTTCCTCTGAGAGAGTACACCAACACCCACACACCTGTCATCACGTTGCTCTGAGAGAGTACGCCAACACCCACACACCTGTCGTCTCGCTGCTTTGAGAGAGTACGCCAACACCCACACACCTGTCATCACGTTGCTCTGAGAGAGTACGCCAACACCCACACACCTGACGTCTCGCTGCTCTGAGAGAGTACACCAACACCCACACACCTGTCGCCGTGTTTCTCTGAGACAGTACACCAACACCCACACACCTGTCGTCGTGTTCCTCTGAGAGAATACACCAGCACCCACACACCTGTCGTCGTGTTCCTCTGAGAGAGTACACCAACACCCACACACCTGTCGCCGTGTTCCTCTGAGAGAGGACGCCAACACCCACACACCTGTCGTCGTGCTGCTCTGAGAGAGTACACCAACACCCACACACCTGTCGTCTCGCTGCTTTGAGAGAGTACGCCAACACCCACACACCTGTCGCCGTGTTCCTCTGAGAGAGTACACCAACACCCACACACCTGTCGTCGTGTTCCTCTGAGAGAGTACACCAACACCCACACACCTGTCGCCGTGTTCCTCTGAGAGAGTACACCAACACCCACACACCTGTCGTCGTGTTCGTCTGAGAGAGTACGCCAACACACACACACCTGACGTCTCGCTGCTCTGAGAGAGTACACCAACACCCACACACCTGTCTTCCCTCGCTCATGCTCTCTTCACACCATCAACACGAGTACCTCACGCCCCAGCCACCCTCCTCCATCTCATATATTTTGTTGCCTATACCATCAGCGTTTATACCCGGCCGCCGGCACGTGTGCCACTGTAGAGGTACCCTGAGCCTCCTCTCAACAACCCCATCCACTTGTTTACAACAACTATACTGTTGCTTCTGGCGTCAGGCATAAAAGATTTACGGCGTAGTTTATTTTAACCTGGAAATAGAAATGTGGGTAGATTACATAAAAATTTGGGCTTGACATGGAGGCCATACCATTCATCACCAACAGTTTCACCAAATATATTTTGTGCGATGAATTACGGACGATGAGTCTGTGTGGGGGGAGGATGAGTTCCTCCCCCCCCCCCTTGGTTGGCATTCATGCAAACACTCGTTCAAATGGAAGCAAATTGCTTCTGAAGACTTGCTTCTTTGAGTATCTGTGAGGGCATGATTTTGTCCGTGTATCTGTGTCCGCACTGCTGCCATAGTCACTATGACCACTGTGTTGCCATAGTCGCTGTGCCCTCACTGTTGCCATAGTGAGGTTTAAATTTAATCCTGATAATTATCTTTGGCATCTTGTTACGGGTCGGAACCGTTTGGGTCAGTCTGTGTCTAATTTTCCCTGGAACACGATCCGCTAATTATTTTACATCCAGGTCCCCAGTTACCGCAGGGAGCACGCGGGTGAACAGCGTGGGAACGAGTCGAGAATTATTTATAGTTGTTAAATTAGTGTTTTTCGCGTGCAAGAATGTTTTATATAAAATAGTGACATTGAGTTTATTTTATTTTTTGTACGTTTTTGAGACAGTAAGATATTGTCTTATATCTATTTATTGATATAATATAGCTATCGTATATCTATTTATTGATATAATGATATTGATATATAGCCCCAGATATTGTCTGGGGCTATTTTGACATTTTTGTACGTGTTTGAGACAATAAGATATCTAATATTTTGACATTTTTGTACGTGTTTGAGACAACAGGATATCCAATATTTATTTTTGTACGTTTTTGAGACAATAAGATATCTAATATTTTGACATTTTTGTACGTGTTTGAGACAATAGGATAGCCAATATTTATTTTTGTACGTTTTTGAGACAATAAGATATCTAATATTTTGACTTTTTTTACGTTTTGGAGACAATAGGATAGCCAATATTTTTACATTTTTGTACGTGTTTGAGACAATAGGATATCCAATATTTATTTTTGTACGTTTTTGAGACAATAAGATATCAAATATTTTGACATTTTTGTACGTGTTTGAGGCAATAGGATAGCCAATATTTATTTTTGTACGTTTTGAGACAATAAGATATCTAATATTTTGTCTTTTTTTACGTTTTGGAGACAATAGGATAGCCAATATTTATTTTTGTACGTTTTTGAGACAATAAGATATCTAATATTTTGACTTTTTTGTACGTGTTTGAGACAATAAGATATCAATATTTTGACATTTTTGTACGTGTTTGAGACAATAGGATATCCAATATTTATTTTTGTACGTTTTTGAGACAATAAGATATCTAATATTTTGACTTTTTTTACGTTTTGGAGACAATAGGATAGCCAATATTTATTTTTGTACGTTTTTGAGACAATAAGATATCAAATATTTTGACATTTTTGTACGTGTTTGAGACAATAAGATATCAAATATTTTGACATTTTTGTACGTGTTTGAGACAATAGGATAGCCAATATTTATTTTTGTACGTGTTTGAGACAATAAGATATCTAATATTTTGACATTTTTGTACGTGTTTGAGACAATAGGATAGCCAATATTTATTTTTGTACGTTTTTGAGACAATAAGATATCTAATATTTTGACTTTTTTACGTTTTGGAGACAATAGGATAGCCAATATTTTGACATTTTTGTACGTTTTTGAGACAATAAGATATAAAATATTTTGACATTTTTGTAAGTTTTGGAGACAATAGGATAGCCAATATTTTGACATTTTTGTACGTGTTTGAGACAATAGGATATCTAATATTTTGACATTTTTGTACGTGTTTGAGACAATAAGATATCCAATATTTTGACATTTTTGTACGTGTTTGAGACAATAGGATATCCAATATTTATTTTTGTACGTGTTTGAGACAATAAGATATCAAATATTTTGACATTTTTGTACGTGTTTGAGACAATAGGATAGCCAATATTTATTTTTGTACGTTTTTGAGACAATAAGATATCTAATATTTTGACATTTTTGTACGTGTTTGAGACAATAGGATATCCAATATTTATTTTTGTACGTGTTTGAGACAATAAGATATAAAATATTTTGACTTTTTGTACGTTTTTGAGACAATAGGATAGCCAATATTTTGACATTTTTGTAAGTTTTGGAGACAATAGGATAGCCAATATTTTGACATTTTTGTAGGTTCTTCTGACAAAAAAATTCCCAATATTGTCACTCTTTTATGGAATTTATGCTAAATATAGCGGCCGCTAATTCTACTATTGAAAGATAAATTCGTTCGGCTATAATATATTCATATTATTTATAATGCTGATTTGTTTGTTTTCAACCAGTAATAATACATTAACGAGCTTTTTTTTTTTGAACACTTTTTCAAACGTCATTGTAAATCATGGCATTGTAAATCATGTCGTTGTAAATCATGTCGTTGTAAATCATGTCGTTGTAAATCATGTCGTTGTAAATCATGTCGTTGTAAATCATGTCATTGTAAATCATGTCGTTGTAAATCATGTCGTTGTAAATCGTGTCATTGTAGATCATTTTATTGTAAATCATGCCATTGTAAATCACGCCATTGTAAATCATGCCATTATAAATCATGTCGTTGTAAATCATGATCTGAAAAAACTGAGCGAGCTTCCTTAAAAACAATGAGTTATTCCCCATATTTAAAATTCCCATCTAATTATTGATAAAGAATATTAGCTCTAGGGTTTTTTATATAATTTATTGCTTATTATTGCATTATTAATTTATTAAACAACTATCGTAACGAGGTCTACCCCCGAAAAGGTTGGCGCCATTCGAATGATGAATCGACCCCTCTGAATCCTAATCTGCAACAGACAGAGAGAGAGAGAGAGAGAGAGAGAGAGAGAGAGAGAGAGAGTGAGAGTGAGAGAGAGAGAGACAATCTGATTATGCATTGTGAATACCAGCATGAGAATTTTGTTGAACAAATGGTAAAACTCTATTGATTCGACGCGCCATCATTCATCTCAATCGACTTCATTGAGGTTGCAATGGAAGGCGACCACATTTAAGGGGGGGAGGAATAGAATTGACTTCTACGACCTGTCCATGACAATCCCCCAAGCCCCACCAGTCATACTACAAGGTTTAATGGGGCTAACCCCAAGCATCTGGCCTCCAGTCTTTGACAGACTAGCAGATAAAGTAACTTTTCAGGAGGAATCGAAGTCTCTTTATTACCAATGAATCAATTTTATTTTTATGTTCATTATAGGTGTATGCTATTCCTTGTGGTTGTATGTTATTCATAGTATCTGTATTTTATTCATTATAATTTGTTATTCACTCGAGCTGTATGAGTTGAGAAACTTGAGGATCAAGCAGGAAAGTCTACTTATAACGAGCTTCATGAATACAGTCACTACGAACCTGAGCTGACTGTTCACCCTGTATGATGAACGTATTACTCTGATAATGTATAATGTATTGACATATACGACGCAGGTTATTCATCGACTTTATTTCGGTGACTTACACTGGAGAGTTCCAATTTTTTGTATAGATCTCTGTTAGGGAGGTACATTAGGTTAGGAAAACTTTGACATCTTGTTAGCGGAAATTAGTCACGATATGGGCCTAACTTGGCCTAACTTTAGTAATGAGATCTCGCGCCACACCGTGACGTGATCTGACTTCTTGAGTCACTATGTGGCTTGCTCTGGCTTCTTCAGTGCCACATCTTTTTGTATCTGTCTTCTACAGTGCCAGACTGTGTCATGATCCGGCTTCTTCAGTGCCAAAGTATGGTGATCTTATTACAGCTTAGTCTTCTGTTTTGGAATGACTTTATAACAGTCACTGCTTTATAGGCTAGTAGGTCTACTGTAGGTTCCTAGCGTTGATTATTTTGGCTAAAGAGAATTGAGGTACAATTATAGGCATATTTCGGGGCTTTTTTTTGTAGGTCTACTGTTTAATAGGGTGGGCCCATTTTTTATAATATCAAAGTTCAATATTTTGTAGTAAAACTGCAGCGTTGATTATTTTGGGTAAAGAGAATTGAGGTACAATGAGAGTCAATACACTGAAGGGAAACTTGCTGAAAAAAATAACTTTTGCCACCTGATATACTTTTTATTTCACTTGAAAGTTGACTTATTACATACAAGATCATACGGATGAGCTAACCATTGTTGATACGGGAAAGACTACAGTTAAACTTACTGTAAAACTGAAATATATGATAATAGAGACATGAAATATTTACTGCAGGTCCCACGTGTCTCGTTCATCATAACTACAATGATTTCTCTTCAAGTTTAGCTTTGTTTTTGTCTTTGTGTTATTTATACAATGTTCGTGATTTGAGACGAAGGGAGATGGTATCTTACTGGAGCTCGTATATTTCCATTGGTTGTCCCATTATCTCCCTTCATCCCATTGGTTGTTCCATTATCTCCCTTCATCCCATTGGTTGTTCCATTATCTCCCTTCATCCCATTGGTTGTTCCATTATCTCCCTTCATCCCATTGGTTGTTCCATTATCTCCCTTCATCCCATTGGTTGTCCCATTATCTCCCTTCATCCCATTGGTTGTTCCATTATCTCCCTTCATCCCATTGGTTGTTCCATTATCTCCCTTCATCCCATTGGTTGTTCCATTATCTCCCTTCTTCCCAATGGTTGTTCCAATGTCTCAGTTCTTATCACTGGACGTTCCTTTAACACGCTTGCTGTACCCAGTTGACCTACGTGCTTTTGCTGTCAATGAGGCGTTTGGCATTCTGTATTACAAAAATTTACAATCACTTGAGAATATAATGAGATGATTTCATATGAAGACGTCTTACCAAGATGCCTCGGAGGATGTTTATACTCTTCTCTAAAGTAGATTAATTACTAAAGTAAATTTGTAGATATAATAGAGGAAAAAGAGATTGGTTAGAAAGGTGGGCTCCAAGAGTTAATGGTTCGAATCTGCAGGTACAAATAGAAAACACACACACACACACAGCTGTGTGTACTCACTTAGCTGTGCTTGCGGGGGTTGAACTCTGGCCATGACCAAAGAGGCAGAGGTCAACCCCCGCAAGCACAACCAGGTGAGTACACACACACACACACACACACACACACACACACACACACACACACACACACACACACACACACACACACACAGGGGGCCTCGTAGCCTGGTGGATAGCGCGCAGGACTCGTAATTCTGTGGCGCGGGTTCGATTCCCGCACGAGGCAGAAACAAATGGGCAAAGTTTCTTTCACCCTAAGTGCCCCTGTTACCTAGCAGTAAATAGGTACCTGGGAGTTAGTCAGCTGTCACGGGCTGCTTCCTGGGGTGTGTGTGTGTGTGGTGTGGGAAAAAAAAAAAATAGTAGTAGTTAGTAAACAGTTGATTGACAGTTGAGAGGCGGGCCGAAAGAGCAAAGCTCAACCCCCGTAAAAACACAACTAGTAAACACACACACACACACACACACACATACACACACACACACACACACAGTGAAGGCAGACTCCGTACACAGTTTCAAAAATGCATACACATGCATTGTGTGTGCGGGAGCACGCGCAGAATGCCACAGATGACGTGACTTGAAAATGTACGAAAAACCCCCACAGTGAAAAAGGAAGAATAGTTTAGTAATGTTGCCTGGCGGACGGCCCCATCAGAGAGCAGGACCGGGGCGCGGAGTGCCTGACAGGGAGGAAGATGGAGAGACCAGGCAAGAGATAATCGCACTATCCACTCCACCAGAAATCAAAATAATAACATGAAAAAATAAATATAAATAAGAATGAAACTAAAAATCATAATTTAGGCAAAAGGTCCATAAGCCATGAATGCCATATATTACTCTTTACTAGTAATGGTATAAGATAGTGAAAGTAAGTCTAGACAAGTTAAACAGAAAACAAAATAAGAAAATAGCTGCATAAACAAGCAAGCTGTGATGGGAAGCTTGAGAACAACTTAAGAATCTCAGTTGCACTTTTAACCCCAATCTTAGAAGCTATTCTTTTAACCGAGAATCGATGAATGTTATATAATACAAAGCCCTTATTGAATATATTATCACTACATTTAATTAAGATTCAAACATATTTGTCAGTAAAAGATACTTTATAGATTAAAATCTTTTCCTAAATTCGGTCTCCTGGATGGCTAAAATCTCCCAAGTGAAGGAACAGAACATTAGATGCCAGCACTGACGTCTCGGTAGCGCAGATGGCTTCGCTCTCGACTCACGTTTTGTCAAGAAATTTTCCCATTGGCCGATGTAAGTCTTATCACAATTCTTACAAGATATCTGGTAGACAATTTGACCAGAAACTTCATGGGAATTTCTTATAGTATTTTCTAAAAAAAAAATTTGTTTTTTTAACACTTTATTATTAAAATTCTTAAAGGTGGAGAACAAAATCTGTGCCGCGTTCTCAGTACACAGAAGAACGATATCTGTGCCGCGTTCTCAGTACATAGAAGAACAAGATCTGTGCCGCGTTCTCAGTACACAGAAGAACGATATCTGTGCCGCGTTCTCAGTACACAGAAGAACGATATCTGTGTCGCGTTCTCAGTACATAGAAGAACAAGATCTGTGCCGCGTTCTCAGTACACAGAAGAACGATATCTGTGCCGCGTTCTCAGTACACAGAAAAACGATATCTGTGCCGCGTTCTCAGTACTGTACATAGAAGAACAAGGTCTGTGCCGCGTTCTCAGTACACAGAAGAACAAGATCTGCGCCGCGTTCTCAGTACACAGAAGAACGAGATCTGTGCCGCGTTCTCAGTACATAGAAGAACAAGGTCTGTGCCGCGTTCTCAGTACACAGAAGAACGATATCTGTGCTGCGTTCTCAGTACTGTACATAGAAGAACAAGGTCTGTGCCGCGTTCTAGTACACAGAGGAAGAACATGAACAAGAAGAACAAGAAGTATATTTCAAAAGAACAAACTAAATCCGGAACTTAGAATCACACAATGCTCTCTCGGCCCGTTATAAAAGTTCTCCGCTATCCAGAAGAGATCGAAGATATCTTGGACATTTCTCGTCAATGATTACAGGGCCCCCATACACGCAAGCTTCTCCAAACCATAAAAAAAATGATAAATATTTCACCGTCACATTAGGGTCAATTATTCAGTATTCTCTCCAATGTTTACGAGAGCCTCGCGTGTGTACTGTCTCCTTGAATTCATTGATGATGAAATACGTCGTTGCAATCGCCTCAGGTTTGCAATACAGCAACATTTGTGACACATACCGCTGAGGAAACAAGCTAAGACAACATTACCTTAAATCAGTCGTATGAAGCCTTAGTGTGGCGTCCTTACCTATAAAAGTAATGAATAAAGGTTATCTTGAGGTTATCTTGAGATGATTTCGGGGCTTTTTTAAGTGTCCCCGCGGCCCGGTCCTCGACCAGGCCTCCACCCCTAGGAAGCAGCCCGTGACAGCTGACTAACACCCAGGTACCTATTTTACTGCTAGGTAACAGGGGCATAGGGTGAAAGAAACTCTGCCCATTGTTTCTTGCCGGCGCCTAGGATCGAACCCGGGACCACAGGATCAGAAGTCCAGCGTGCTGTCCGCTCGGCCGACCGGCTCCCTTTAAAGGTAAAGGTAAAGGAAATCTTGAGGAGTGAGACAAGATAGTGAGGGTGGAGGGCTGACGGCTGTGGTGTCAGGCTGGGAGAGCTGTATGACGTGACACAGACGTGTGCGGGGGGGGGGGTACAGACGACGTGATCACATCATTTAAGAGTGTTACAGCAACGCGTCCTACTAAATAGCACGTCGTATTTTGACGTATACTCTACTTAAGGCCAAAACATTTCGTACTAGAAAATAGGAGAGGTTCGTGAAGTTGACGTACTGTCTCCTTTTCTGTTTTGAATCCTCTGGTAGGTTAGGGTAAGGGCACTTTATACTACAGCTTCTTGACGTTGGGAAATCTGAGGAAGAGGGGCTGGTTAGAGGCCTCTAAGATTGTTAGAGGCCTCTAAGATTGTTAGAGGCCTCTAAGATTGTTAGAGGCCTCTAAGATTGTTAGAGGCCTCTAAGATTGTTAGAGGCCTCTAAGATTGTTAGAGGCCTCTAAGATTGTTAGAGGCCTCTAAGATTGTTAGAGGCCTCTAAGATTGTTAGAGGCCTCTAAGATTGTTAGAGGCCTCTAAGATTGCTAGAGGATACAAAGTGGTTACAACGTAATACTGAGGGATAGTACAATGACATGAAGGCAAACTACAGGCGGAAACGAGCCATTGGGCTTTACAGAGGCACTTCATTCTCATCCTCATTCCCATTGGGAATGAGAATAGTAAGTAACTACAGGAATGACCTAACCTGTAGTAACACTTTGGCTAACACCGACCGTAGTTTTAATTATAGATATGTTAAGAAGCAAGAGGGTCAGGAGTCATCTTCTTAAGGTTATCTTCAGATGATTTCGGGGCTATTTAGTGTCCCCCGCGGCCCGGTCCTCGACCAGGCCTCCACCCCCAGGAAGCAGCCCGTGACAGCTGACTAACACCCAGGTACCTATTTTTACTGCTAGGTAACAGGGGGCATAGGGTGAAAGAAACTCTGCCCATTGTTTCTCGCCGGCGCCTGGGATCGAACCCAGGACCACAGGATCACAAGTCCAGCGTGCTGTCCGCTCGGCCGACCGGCTCCCTCGAAACCGTCATTGCGAAAGAGAAAATATAAATATCCGTGTTCTTACTTGAAGTTGCCGTTGCTGCCGTCAGTTGCTCCACGACCTGCTACACGTCTGTCCTTTTCCTGCCCCCCCCCCCCAGTTGTGTCCCAAGTCTTCCCTCGCCCCCGCCACCTTCCTGCCATGGTGTTGAGTCAAGTTGTGTCCCAAGTCTTCCCTCGCCCCCGACACCTTCCTGCCATGGTGTTGAGTCAAGTTGTGTCCCAAGTCTTCCCTCGCCCCCGACACCTTCCTGCCATGATTGATGAAGATTAAGCCACCCAAGAGGTGGCACGGGCATGAATAGCCCGTAAGTGGTGGCCCTTTCGAGCCATTACCAGTATCAAAAGATGATACTGGAGATCTGTGGAGGTGCGACTGCACCCTGCGTGACGGGAGATGTCTCCCGGACCAAGTGGTGACCAAATGGTGTTCCTGCCATGGTGTTGAGGACAAATATTAGTGATGTCAATCAATAAAGCAAACCTTGCGGCCTCAAAGGATGCAACTATCAATTATTATAAGTGAATCAAATTCACTTGCTAACCAAGAACACTGTACTCACCTAGTTGTACTCACCTAGTTGTGCTTGCGAGGGTTGAGCTCTGGCTCTTTGGTCCCGCCTCTCAACTGTCAATCAACAGGTGTGTACAGGTTCCTGAGCCTATTGGGCTCTATCATATCTACACTTGAAACTGTGTATGGAGTCAGCCTCCACCACATTCACAGTCCCTCAACTGTGAATGTTGGCGAGTGTTAGTGGGGGCATGTTGCAGTATTGTGTGTTGAGAGATAAACACAACAGTCTTATAATATATTCAAATCTGTTAGTACTGACATATTTTCATATAATTAATAATATTCGATGTTTCCCTAAGATAAGGTGAAAATCTGGTTAACTGCATTCATTGAATCGTCTAA